TTAATATGCTAACACTTCTGATACGGAGTATATTGATAATCCTTAAATTTAAATTAACGAACGATATCTCGGGTATTTATTATATTCTATTTCATATTCATTACGTAATAACGCGACTTTTGTTATTTAAAAAAAATATCCTGACATGGCTCAATCAATGAAAAACATAATTTAGTGTATGCGCCTTCCTAAATCCATATTTTCAGTAATAACAAACTGTTGTTACAATTTAATTCAGTAAAACAATTCATCATTAAAAATACACAAATACATTCATAAAAACCAAAGGCCATCAATAATGGATGTGCATTATTAGTATTTTGTTAATTTTTCTTTGTATTAAGATATTAAAGTATACTCCGGAGGCCTAATTTTAGTCCCTTTCCCTTTCCACCTTTTTCTGAGAGGATGTTAAGGAAACGTGATTTGATGGTGGAGGACACGCATAAAAAGTGAAAATGTCCTCTTTATGTGCTCCTCCTCCTCCGTCAATTAAGGATATGCAACGCATCTGCAATTGCGGATGTTTATGGGCAGCGGTCGCTTTCCATTTCGGTGGATTAAGGTGGCCGCTTGCTCGTTTGCCACCTTATATTATAAAAAAAAACTTTTTTAAGATTCTTACTTTTTAAGTGATAAGAGTTCTTTTTCATTCATAATTTTATGTTATGAATTATTTAAGTTTAATCTATGTACGTATAATATTTTAATACTTTAGCATCCGTCATAAGTATCAAAGTAAGGATTAAATTATAGTAAATTTTATTTTTCAACGTGTTATCATATTATTAAGATTATTATTGTTTAGATTAACATAAATATCCGGTTCGATAAACATTCATTCAAAAAAATTTTGTAAAAGTGACTTTCTTCTGCCGAAACAGCTGTTATTCATACCATTAAATAAATAAAATCTATACTTATTACTTATATTATAATAAAGCGTAAACAAACACTTTTTTGTTGCCTAAGATATCAGCAATTACAGAATATTTTTGAATAATTCCGTTTTAAATAAAAAGCCTTACACTTACGTCACGCTTTAGGCTATTTATTATCACGCCATTAAACTTATGGGGCAAGTATTTTGGATAAAAACCCTAATGTGGGTAAGAGACCAAAAGTTGCTGCCAACATCAAGAAAGCAAGATTGCTAAGGTTTGTCATGTAATGACATTTTCTATTGATAATTTGACAAATGTAAACAATAAAATAAATTTTTTCATCATGCGGATGAAGCCGCAAGGGAACAGCTATAAATAATGTAAAAAAACCTATTTATTGCCATCCAAAAGTATACACAGAGTTGTACAAATTAAAAACCTACAAAAACCTCACCTCCACAAATAAAGGTACACATATCATTTTTAGAGGTAAAAAATGTAAAATTACTTTAACAATTCAACTACGATCAGTGTAAATTACCACAACCCTTTGGACATTGAGAGATCTTTCTTTCATTTCAATTTACCTTACTTTACTAACAAAGACAAGACTACGCAAATCAAATTCTGCTACGTTAATAAAATGCTTTCGAAAGTGGCAAAGCGATCTTAGGTCCTTGTTAAAAAAATGTAGGAATATCCGTTTCATAATTATCCAGGTAATTTCCCTGCATGTACTTGAAAGTTTTCACGTTATTATTAGTGTAACTTATGAAGGAATCAGTTAATTTTATTTAAATAATTGTAAAGATAAGTATTCATTTAAAAATTTTGGAGAAAAATAAATCTTTTAAATAATTTGAACAAGATGTGAGGACTAATAGTTTATCAGTTAGATTTTAAAATGCAAGGATCGAATTAATAATATATTTTTGTTTCGATTAGAACGTTTTGATACGTTGATATCGTTGTCTCTCTTTATTGAACGAGAAAGTAAGGAACGATAATATGTGCCAATAGGAGTAACACTGTACATTGATATTAGTAAATATTGTTTAATAAACGTGTTAAAAACGATGTTATTAATAAAAGTAAAGAAGTATATTTTTTAAAACATATTTATTGCATTAATGTCCATTAATTAACAAGTTCAATCTTGAGATGTTGTCTTACAGATCTAGTTTCAGCTTAGTTAAGGATGTCGGGCAGAACAACAACGGGAGAGGGGACGATGGGGGCAACGATGACTGGCTCGGTGATGACGGGCTTGTCAACAACGATGACGGGATCGACGACCT